GAAGAAAGCCAAGTGCATCGTCCTGCTACTAAACAACGGAAAGAATTGGTGAAGGACCAGGAGAAAGGCTCTAATTCAAAATCTCAATCCCCTTTTAGGGAAAACAACACCATTCCTTCCTCATCGGACTCTATTCACCTTCATTCCCACCCCAGACTGCACTCCTCTGCTGTTCTTCCATTGGTTACTGGAGAACACTACCAACAACCAATGCCTCATGCACTTGGGCTGCTGTCTGCAGGCCTGCCTTTCTCTCCTACATATTTGCCTATAATGCAACAGCAGCACAGCACAGCCGTCAATCTCGTGCCATTGGGGAAATGCAACATGCATCTCATGCTTCAGTCTGCCTGTCAATCTAAATCTTTGGTTCACCACCACTTGGACATGTAGCCGTACCACCAACCAATAAAACCCACTGAGCCAGTTTTCCTCATTAGGATGTGAAGAGGGAGCAGGTCTTCCTGTGTTCCTCCCCCCACCACAACATCGTAACTTTTACCCTCAGAAGGCTTTGGATTTTGATCTTTTTCTGTAACTTTCATTAATTGGTTTTGATCGTATTTGGACAAACTGGCTTTTTGTGAACTTCCATGCATAGCTTAGAGCATTGTTGAGAAAAATGTTATGTTGCACATACTTATTTGAGCACTTTGTAGATTTTTATGAACATATGATCATTTTGAATACAAATAAACATGAGAAACATCTGAATCAGTAGTATTCAGCTTGCATCGTGACTTCTGTGTAACCTAATTCTGGGATTGCACTTGTGGTTTTCATAATTTATGTCACTGCAATAAATAATTTTGCCAAATGTGGAGCGTTCTCAGCAGCATTAACATTTAAGTAGCAAAAGCTTAATTTTATTTATTGTGTGCACTTGTACATTTTCATTTATAGCTAAAATTATGACCATAATTCATTTTTATATGAATGAAAGCCACAGTTACCTATCACTGAATATGTTTACATGCTTATGAATATGATCATATTTTGATTATGAAAGCAACATGTAAAAGAGTTTGTCATAACTAAGCCAACAATCTGATTTCTATAAATCAGAATAAGACTGCTGACACTAAAAATTTACTAAATTTTAAGACTGAAAAAGAATAAGACTGCCAACACCAAACATTTACTAAAACACACACACATTTTTAAACATTAAGCTACTTCATTGTCTACATTTGTATATTTATCTACATTATACAATTTATCATGGTATTCATATTTCCAGTGTGCTATTGTAAGGACATAAATGAGAATTAATAAGTTGAATCATTTCAATAAAGAGAAAGAGTGAGCATTTCTATACTTCTAGTAAAGAAAAAAGGGTAGGCTAAAGTATTTATAGTTTATACAGAATGTTTATTTACATCTTGTAAAACTATATAAAACATCTATATTATATAAATATTTTATAATATTACTATTACTATTTATATATTATTTAAAATATATTTTTATATAACATCTTTTTTTTTTTTTTTCAGAATAAAGATTTACTAAATTGACCTTAATGGGTAAAAGAGATATAGCCTATACTTTGTCTCTCTAACATATATACAAAACCGGTCTGTTTTCCAGTTCAAAAATAAAGTGAGAATTAAAATCTTAAAATATAATTTCCAGTAATTTATATTTTTGACAATGGACTCAACGCAGAAACCTAATCATAGCCTTGTCATCTCCAGATTTTCCATCAAATATTCAAGGTATCACCTAAACATTCACACATCCTCATCCACATGAGCGTTCAAATTAAACGAATCCTTGTAAATTCTTTCTCAAAAGCTGACTCCAGTACTGTTGATCCGGGCAAAACATTTGAGTTGTTCTCCAGGTGGGGACGGTAGGGAGCTTCTGTTGCGCGCACAAGCACAGCCGCATATTCACCAATCTATCTACGCACTTTTGAGAACGTATCCACAGCAATGGGAGTGTCGGGTGACGCCGGAGCTTCGCTCTCCGAAACGGTAGGCTTAAAGAGACAACAGCGAAGCCGGGCTAGTGTTTAGTGGGAAATTAAATCACCTTTCAGTGCATAAACAAAGGACCATGTCGCGGCGTACTACATAGGGAACTCACACGCAGGTAAAAACATCTTTATGCTTCCTAATTAAAAACATTCCCATGCTCGTTTTAATCGAAAGACTGAAAGGTTCGCTGCTAAACGGCTAATATGATGTTAGCCTAGTCGGTGGGTTGCTAAGCTAACGTTAGTTCATTTGTGGAGGATTATTGCCATGTTTGTCTAACAAGGCTCGGAGTTGTTTAGCTGGTTTGTCGGTATTTCCTTCCCTTTTCGGATACGATAGGGAATCTATTTAGCTTTAGATGTAAAACAAAATACATTTTGACGTGTATGTAAGTTGGTTCATATTTGACGGCTCAGCTAGACAGCTTCTCATTTTAAGGACGTTTTTAAGCGACTGGCCAAGAAGGCGGCTCAAAGAAAATAGTCTGAATGCCTTTTAAAGACATATTTAATGTTAAAGACCTGTTTAAGAATGTATTTTCTTGCTAGGCCAGAGTAGGAAGCTTTCTAGGATTGACACTTCATTATGAAAAAAACATTTATGGACGGATGAGATACACTTTCACTGCCAGATCTGATATAAATATATTTTATGTGAAATTTTAGACGTTGATATGGAAATCTCTTATGTCAAGGGCGTCATCGCCAATTAAACCATCTAATTTATGTAATTAAAAAAAACATTACGGTATTAAGCTCACGTCACGAGTAAGTGAGGTTTAATGTGGCTTAATTTTTGACAGATATTATAAACTATGATTTACATGTCAAAGTAGAGTTGGGTCCAATTCTAGTCGGTTATCAGACTAGAAGGTTGTCAGACAGCAAACAAGAGGAGTGTTAAACTGTATCTCACAGTTTCACATAGAGGCTAAACAAATTAGTATGGAAAATCACACTGCTTAAGGAAATAAATGACCGGGCAGCTTTCTTTCTCGTTCTTTGTACAAATCAACACTACACAAGGCCTTATAGAGCAACACAGAAGTAGTTTTATGGCACCAGCTTCTCTCTTTTGCCCATCTGAAAAGTAGAAGTATGTCTTGGTTTTTACACGGCCTCTAACACTTGCATATTTCCTGTTTGAAAGCTAAAACACAAAGTTGAACTGTGCTGTCAACGTTGTTGTGTTGAAACCTAGTTTCTTTTTGCTTCGAAATAAGTCGTAAATGGGTTGTTAGCTGGCTTATCTCATCTTCTTTTAGGCAGAGTGACTCAAAACAGCTGTGAGCACTAATTTGGCATCCCCTACTAGTCAGGCAGTTTTAATTCCAGATTATATGGTATTATGGTCATCATTTTGGCTTTCTGATGCACTTTTGCATCAGGTGTTTTTTATGATGATGTTCTTGTGTTATCTGTGAGATTCATTCCTTAATCTGTTGCATATCTCTAAATATGAAACTGAAGCCAGATTAAGTCAGTATCTGCAATGTGTATCTTAGTTAAACGTCATTCAAGCATTCAAACGTCATTAATTGATAAGATGTTTCTGATGTAAGTAGTAGCCCCATAATCAGTACTTGTACGCTAGTTCTTGTCCACAGATGTTGTAATTATATCCGATCCCTTTTTGACTGTTGCCTTGTGGCATGGTTTTCCATTTCATCCTTGTATGAGCTTATAATCAGCATTTTAATGGTAACGTGTGGGGTTGCGACCACCAGACCATAGGAATACATGACTGACTGCCAGTCCTGACGAAACTGTCACTTGCTTTCCTTGAAGTTTTTCATATTTTCAGGCTATAGATTAAGATCAGTATGATGCTTGTTAAATGCCTTATGTAATCCTGTGTTTATTATTCACCTTTGTGTAGCTTCTACAGTGTGCAATTAAGGTTAAGTGTTTGCTTTAATGATTGATTCTTATACTGAGAATTGATGTATGGAAATTCAGTCTCTTTCCTAAAGGGCTGTCCAGCACCCCCTGTAATTGTTATAAAAGCTAAGCCGACATGATTGGTGATGCATTTATTTTGCTGAATGACAGGGCATCATTTTTCATAATTCTTTTTGCACAGGCTAAAGTATGATCATTTCCTCGGACTAGAAAAATGAGCCGTGCATTAATAATCTAATGCATTGAAGCTCTGACGCATTTGTCACTTGCTGAACAAACAGAGCCTTGGATGTTGAAATTAAGTAGTGAAAATCCCCCCCCCCCCCCCACAAAAGACCAGACGAA